CCCGTCTTTGGCTATTCAGCCGTCCACACTGGACACACTAGTGTAGGCCACGTCTCATCCAGCCGGCTGTGCCTGTCTTAGGTTGTCCTCCTCTGAGGATCTTACCCGTCACTGGCTACCCAGCCGTCCATACTGGAGGTCTTAATCTCTTTCAAAAAGATTTTCAGTTTTCTTCATTTTCCTAAGGTTATGTGTAGGGATATAGTTGAGCACAAGAATACACAAGTCAGCAGGGGTAGGGAGCTACTTCTTCCTGTGCTTTTCTCCCAATTCTCACTGGACTATTGAAGATGTCCTTAGTTCTGTACAGATACCAGGTGTCCATGGTAACCATATACTGATATGTGGGTAGCACCTTCTGGCTTGTAGCCATTGTACTGAAGCCTGTGGCTGAAATCTGTTGTCTCTGTCATATTCTCCTGTCACTCTGAAATCTCTTTATTCTTGCTCTAGGCATTTTGATGTCCACTAGTTCCATCTTGGAATGTATGGAAATTCTGGACCACCTTACATGTCACATTCAAGCTGAAGGTGACGTAAAGAGCAATCTTAGGACCATCTAACTTGCACCTCCTTCCACTGATGCTATATTACTGCTTTTGTACTATATTGATGTTACGCTGCACTAGAAAGAAAATTTCTCTGAGAGGCTTGTAAACTTCCTAGGATATATATGAAAAAGTAAAGCATTAGTCTGAAAATTTTTGGATTCGCACAAATACACCTAGAATTTTTACCTGTCTCTCCACATTCCTAGGGTTTCTCTCCCAAAGAAAAGAATGGTGAAGACCCTGCCTCTTATCCTTGCTCTCATTATGACTTCTTTCTCTTTGGCTCTTTATCAGTCATCTATTACCACAGAAATGCTGTGTAACAAGTCATTTCAAAAACTAACTGGCTTAAAACAACTGTCATATATTTTCACTCACACATCTGCAGGCTAGGAGTTGGAGATTGGTGAACCTAGGTAGGCTCGACTGGCTTAGCTGCAAGCTGAAGGATAGATCCAAATCAGATTCTCTATTTCTCACCTTCAATGGTCCAGTGGACTAGCCAGTCACATTCTCCTGACCATGGCAGAGGTTGCAAAAGGACAAGCTCAACCACATGAACACATTTCAAGCTTGTGCTTATGTCACATCTATTAGCCTTTGCAATAGCCACATACTTTCCACCTACTATGAGGCCAAAACAAGTCACATGACCAAATCCAACATGAATGA